AAACGGGTATAGTAGAAGCAGGGGCCCGTACGCCGCTGCTTTTGCTGCTGCCGCGGCAGCTGCAGATTGCTGCTGCTGCTACTGCTGCTGCTCCTGCTGCTGCTGTAGCTGCTGCTGCTGCTGCTGTTCACAGCGGGTCTCAGGCTGCACCTGCTGCTGCTTCTCTTCAAGAGCCGTGTCCGCAAGAGACAGCTGTAGCTGGCAGCGGTTGCTGACGCTGCTGCTGCAGCAAAAGCAGCAGCAGCAGCAGCAGCAGGTAGAGCGCCCCGCCCTACGCGTCTCTGCAAGTTAAGCCGTCCCTCAAGAGATTAAGAATCTGCGAAGCAGCAACAAGAAAAAACCGGGTTTTCTAAGGTGCTGCTGGTGCTTCAGCAGCTGCTGCTGCTGCTGCCGCTGCTGCCGCTGCTGCTGCTGCTGCTGCTGCACTCGGGGCCTCCCCCTGTCTGCCTCTTCTTCTCTCACGTACAACCAATCCCCTCTAGCAGCAACACAGGAAGCAAATAGCAACACGTCGGGCCGCCTTAAGCAGATGTTGCTGCTATACACGCAAGAGTCTTGCTGCAGGCAGCACTCTTCAGCAGCAGCAGCAGCGCCGCCGCCGCAGCAGCAGCAGCTACAGCGGCAGCAGCAGCAGCAGCAGCTGCTGCTGCTGCTGCTGCTGATCGATGATGTGTGGCAGGGTAAAGGAACGTACCTGTCTTTTTTGCTTCTTTTCTTGATGCAACAGTTGTTTATATTGCTGGGAAGATTAAGAAGGCTGGGTGTTGCTGCTGCTGTTGCTGCTGCTGCTGCTGCTGCTGCTGGTGCTGCAGCAGCAGGCCCTACTCAGCAGCCGCAGTACAGAGAGCTGCTGCTGGTTTGCTGCTCTGCTGCAGTTGAGTGCAGCAAAATAACACCCCTAGCAATAATGAAAGACTTGAGTATAATTTAATAATACTAGCAGCAAAAAGAAGCAGCAGAAGGCATTGTTTGCTGCTGCCTAAGTACTGCAGCAGCAAGATTTGCTGCTGAGGCCCTCCCTCCCCGCCACTGCTGGCTTGTTAAGCAGTTGCAAGCTGCGGGTGATGCAGCAGCTGGTTGTGCAGCAGCAGCAGCAGCAGCAGCAAGCTACTGCTGCTGTTGCTGCTGCACCTCTGCTGCTGCTACTTTAGTGCTTGCTGCCTTATAATGGTTTTTTCTCTCTAGCAGCACAGCTGCTGCTGCAGCACCGCCTTCCGCAGCTACGGACTGCTGCTGCTGCTGCTGCTGCTGCTGCTCTTCGGAGACAACTGTCTCCTTTTCTCTCATAAAGTTATGTATAGCACACCAGCTAGCTGACGCTTTATGGTTTGCTGCTGCAGGGGAGTGCAGCCGCCTTTGCTGCAGCGTCTACTACTACTACTGCTGCTGCTGCTGCAGCAGCAGACTGCAGCAGCTAGGCAGCAGCAACACACACTGCAGCAGGCAAGCAACAGCAGCACATTTACTCTCTCTGTAGTTAGCTCAAGTAGAATTATTAATGTAGTAAATATTATTATAAAAGCCTACTGCTACACCCCTTGCTGCTGCTGCTACACGTTTTGCTGCTGCTGCACCCTTTGCTGCTGCTGCTGCTGTCTCTCTTTTCCAGCAGCACAACTGCAGCTACTTCCTCTCTAAACGCAACGATGAATACGTAGATAATAAGACAGTATAAATAATATATATATTTTATTTATATAATGCATATATATACAATATATATCTCTATGTAGATATTTTATTATTATATTTTATTATTATTTCTGCTGCTGCCGCAGCAAGCGATGTGTGAACACACCACATGCATACCCCCTCTACATAACGCTGCTGCTGCTGCTGCTGCTGCTCTTGCTGCTGTTGTTGATGCTGCTGCTGCTTGCTGGGGGTCAAGGGCTGCACCGTAACAGCAGCAGCAGCAGCGGCAGCCATTGCCTTGCAGCTGATGTGGCTATTCGCTCTGCCTCTACCTGCAGAGAAGTTGCTGCTGCTGCTGCTGAAGCTATTGCTGCTGCTGCTATTGTAGCATCTGTTTCTACCGTTACCGCTGCTCACGCTGCTGCTGCTCCTGCTGCTACTCCTGTTGCTGCTGCTGCTACTACTACTACTAGTGCTACTCCTTTTGCTGCTGCTGCTGCTGCTGCTGCTGCTGCAACCCTAAAAGCATCTGTTGAAAGGCCTCAAACAATCTTTGGCGCGGAGGCAAAGACAGGAAACGAGGTGTGCAGACACCCGAAGACGAAGACGCTACAAAGACACAAACAATTGCTGCAGCAGCAGGAGATAGACACAGCCTCCACACTAATGCGGCTGCTGCTGCAGCAGCTACAGCTGCTGCTGCTGCTGCTGCAGTTCTCTAAGAATATCATCCTGGGTAGGGCAGAAGCAGCAGCTACTTCTGCTGCAGTGGGGGAGACACTGCGTTGCGGCAGCCTCTGCTGCAGCCGTTGCTGCTGCTGCATCGCTTGCATAGTGTGCTGCAGCAGCAGAAGCTGCTGCAGCAACAGCAAAAGCTGTCTGAAAGCGTGCAGCAGCAGCAACAGCAGCAGCTGCTGCTTCTGCAGCAGCTGCTGCAGAAGCAAGGCCCTTTGCGTCCCCTCTGCCTCCAGGAGACCTCTGACGGTCCAAGCAACCTGTCTCTTGTCTGCAGCAGCAGCAGCAGCATTTGCTGCTGCTGTTGCTGCGGCAGCTAGGGCTTTCTAGCTGCTGCTTCTGGTGGCAGCAGCAAGGCAGCCTCACTGGGGGATTGTTTTTCCGCAGGTGTCTCCTGAGTTTGCTGCTGCGTCTCTGCTGCTGCAGGCCCTGCTGCTGTTGCTGCTGTTGTGGCTACTTCTGCGCTTGCTGCGGTTGGTGCTGCAGCAGCAGCAGCAGCAGCAGCAGCAGGGTCAAGGGGGTTGCCGGGGCCTTGCAAGTAAGAAAAAGACGATATGCTGTTTTGTCTCTTTATTGTAGGAGACCCGAAAGTGCTGCTGGCTGTTGCTCTCTCTGCTGCTGCTGCTGCTGTTGCAGCAGACGTGTTGTCTCCTGCTGTATCCGCAGCAGAAGCTAGCAACTGCTTCACCCGGCGCAGCACCTGCAACAAACATCAACAAACCCTAAACCCTAAACCCTAAACCCTAAACCCGAGCGAAAGACTGGTGCTGCGATATGGCATCATGATATAATATAAATACATATAAACATAAATATATATATATATATATGTATATTTATAAATATATATATATATATATATATTTATAAAAATGTACATATATATATATATAAATATATATAAATATATATATATTTATAAATATATACATATATATATATATTTATATATGCACGCAGCTGCACAAGCTTGCGCGGGGTTAAGCAGCAGCAGCAGCAGCAGCTTAAGCTGCTCTTTTTAATATTAAATTAAATAACTAATTATGTCTGTCTCCTCTCTTTAAGCTGCTCTTTTTAATACTAAACATTAAATAAAATAACTAATTATGTCTGTCTCCTTGCCTCATTAGCTGAGGGTCTGTCTTGCGGATTTGGCTGAGCCATCTCCAACATCAAATCGCGCCAACAACTCTGGTGAACAGCAACGTGTGGAGGCACCTGCGTATACACCGCAATATATATATATATATATATATATCTGTATATATATATATATCTGTATATATATATGTATATATATATCTGTATAGATATATATATATATATATATATATACAGATATAGATAGATATAGACAGATAGACAACAACTCTGGTGAACAGAGTTATATATATACATATATACATATATATATGTACATATATATCTATATATATATATATATAAACATGTACATAGATAAACAGAAAGCTAGATACGCATAGATATATAGAGATATAAATGAATAAATAGATATATATAGATAGACAGAGATGCATAGACAGACAGACAAACAGATAGATAGACAGACAGACAAGCAGATATATAGAAAGGGCCTAAGAAAGAAGAGACAGTTTGAGCACCTCCAAAGAAGGAGACAGGCTCCTGCTGCTTGGAAGCAAAAATACACAAAAAGATGCGACACCAAAACCGCCTATACACACCTCTACCATTCAAACTGCATGCATGCATGCATGCATGCATGCATGCATGCACACATACAGAAGCCACGAGTGCATGCATGCACATATGCATGCATGCACGCATGCATAAAGAAGCCAAGGGTGCGTGCATGCACATATACATGCATGCACGCATATGGATGCATGCATGGAAAAGCCAAGAGTGCATGCATGCACATATGCATGCATGCATGCATGCAGAAGCCATGCATGCAGATGCATGCAGATATGCATGCATGCACATATTGGGTTTGTTGCATACCTGAGCGAGCCGTTTAAAAGCCTCAAGAGTTTTAACTCTCTCCATGACAGTATTAAATCGAGGACATAGAAACTCTAGAAGAATAAGAGCACTTGAGTATATATCTGCTTTTTCGTCGCATAACCCCCCTCCTTCTGGTGCTGCATATGCTGGAGTCCCTATCACTTCTCCTTTATAAGACTGAATTCATACAGCAGCAGCAGCAGCAGCAACAGCAGCAGCAGCAGCAGACGCAGACGCAGCAGCAGCAGAAGCGGAAGAGGAGATGCATTATCAGACACACGACAGGAAGATAAATGCATGCATGCATGCATGCATGCAGCAGCAACAGCAGCAAATAGCAGTCTGCAGCAATCTTTCTTATATCGCTTACCATATCGAAGAAGACGGGCTTTGTGAGGCCTTTGACTGACCCCTGCTGCTGCTGCTGCTGCTCCAGGGAGACAGTAGAGTCGCCCGCGGCCGTAGCAGCAGCAGCAGCTGCTGCTGCTGCTGCTGCTGCTGCAGCAGGAGGGGGGGGAGTGGCTTCTGTTGCTGTTTTTCTTTGTATGAATTTAGCTAAGCCGAAGTCTACAATTTTTAAAACGTGAGACTGCGGGTCTACGAAGATATTCTCTGGCTTCAAGTCCCTGTGCACTATACCCCTGCACAAGCAGCAGCAGCAGCACCAGCAGCAGCAGCAGCAGCAGCAGCAGCAGCAGCAGCAGCAGCAGCAGCAGCAGCAGCAGAAAAAGGAGATTGAAATAGCGAGAAAGAGAGAGACGCACAAAAAGAAAACAAAGTTCAAGACTGTATATAAATTGAATAAATAAAAGACACAGAGGAGGAGACAGAAGGACAAAAGGAGACAGACAAAGATATAAAAGGAGACAGATGAAGATATAAAAGGAGACAGATGAAGATATAAAAGGAGACAGATGAAGAGATAAATAAATAGGCCTTTAATAGAGATAAACAGAGGAGACAGAGAGACACCAGGAGACAGACAAAGAGACGCAGAGACAGACAAACCAACAGACAGAAAAGAAACAGAGAAAGAAAGATATATATATATATATACATATATATGTATATATATATATTATACATATACATATATATATATAGAGAGAGAGAGAGAGAGAGAAGAGCAGCTACAACAGCGACAGCCAGCAGAAGAAAAGAAGAATGAAAGGAGACGAGCAGAAGCTCGAAGGAGACAGTAGAAGGAGACAGACAGTCTGCTCATCCTACCTCTCATGTATGTCTCTAATCCCCTTGATTAACTGCTTAAACAAATCTAACTCTAACAGAGGCCAGCGGCCTAACGCGTTTTCTTCTTCAAAACAAAGACGCTCCGGCCTGCAGGAGACAGACAAAGGAGACAGTTAAAGAAAATAAACTATAGAAAGGAGACTGTCAAAGGAGACATATTCAATAAGAAGAGACAGCTAAAGGCGACAATTAAAATTAACATATTAAAATGAATATACACACAAAGGAGACACAAGAAGGAGACAGAAGAAGGAGACACATTAAACAATAAAACGCAGCAAAAGGAGACAGACAAAGGAGACAACACTTCAAGAAAAGAGAGGCCGACAAACGAAGAGAAGAGACAACTAAAGAGACACTCAAACAGAGAACTGAAGAAGACACACAAGGGATACAGATTAACTAGACACGCAAAAGAAAAACCTAAAGCTAGCTGCAGCAGCAGCAGCAGCAGCAGCAGCAGCAGCAGCAGACGCGAACCTGTCCAGCCAAGCCCTGAGAGTGAGGCCTGTGCACATCTCCATTTGAATAAGAAGAACGACAGGATATAAAGGCCCCCGCTGCTGCTGCTGCTGCTGCTGCTGCTGCTGCCCTGCAGCACCTCGCTTTTCCTTGTTCTGGTTGCGCTCCTTTCCGCGTGCAGGTGCCACTTGCAACTGCTGCTGCTGCTGCTGCTGCTGCTGCTGCTGCTGCTGCTGCTGGTTTTGATTGCCCTCTGCGTCTGAAGCTTCTTCTTGAAAAACAATTAACTCTCTTTCATCATCGCTGAGGTAAGCACTCCAAAGGTCATCATCACTCCACACGTCTACCTGCTGCTGCACTATCTTACGCTTTGCCTGCTGCTGCTGCTGCTGCTGCTGCGGCTGTTGTTGTTGCTGCTGCTGCTGCACTTGCTGCTGCTGCTGCTGCGGCGCGGCATCGAGTCCCCCTTTGCCTCTGCTGTCTCCAGCTGTCCCTCCCTTGAGCCCCTGCGCCCAGTGACTGCTGCCACCACTAGCAGCAGCAGCAGCTGCTGCAGCAGCAGCAGCAGCGGCTCGTCTCCTTCTTCTTAGTTTCCAAGCTCCATCTGCTGCATCGCCGCGGCCTAAAGCTGCTTCAATCCTCTGAACAGATCTCGTGCTGCAGTCGCTGGTGCTGTGTCTCCTTCTGCGCAACGGGAGGAGACACCTCGGGAATGCAGCAGCAGGAGCAGCAGCAGGAGCAGCAGCAAGGGGGTCAGATACTCCTCTGCTGTCTCCTGAAGAAGCACGGGGGAACCAGCAGCAGCTGGTCTCTGTAGTCTCCAACGTATAGCTGCGCCTCTGCAGCAGCAAACCACAGCCCGTTAGAGAGTGCTGCTGCGGCAGCAAGCCCTCAATATCGCTTAAAGATGCTTGCAGAGTCTTCGACTGTCTCTTCGTACTTCGCAGCAGCGGAGGCAGCCGCAAAGCAGAAAATAAATCTCTGCTGCTGCTCTCCAGGTAATTCCCTTGGCGACGAAGCAAACGCCCTTGCTGCAGCAGCAGCTGCTGCTGCTCCTCCTGTTGCAGCAGCAGCTTACCGCTGCAAGAAACCGCAGGACTTGAAGCGACGCGGCGCAACGCGCGGCCCTGCTGCCGCTGCTGCTGCTGCTGCTGCTGCTGCTTCTGCTGCAGATGCTGATGCTCGTTGCTGCTGTCCAGGCTGCAGCACTCGCGGGTCCCTCCAAAGGAGACGCCGATGTTATCTTCTGTGTCGCTCTCATCTCCAGCTACTTGTCGCTGCAAAGGAATTCCTGCTGCTGCTGCTGCTGCTGCAGCTCCTGCTGCTGCTGCTGCTGCTGCTGCCTTCCGCGCTCGGGATATCCCATAGTCATCCTCAGAGAGACACCCTGAGAGGCGAGAAGCTGCTGCAGCGCCATTCAAGGCCCTCCGCTGCAGCAGCAAAGGAGACACCAAGAAGCAGCAAACGCATGCAACACACCAGCAAACACCGGAGACAACCACGCTAGCAGACAGCTGCAGCAGCAGCAGCTGCTGCTGCTGCAGCAAACACCGGAGACAAGCAATCTGGCAGACAGCAGCTACAGCAGGAGCAGCAGCAGCAGCACCTGCAGCAGCAGAGGGATGCAGGAGCACTTACTGCTGATGTTAGAACTGCATCTCCTTCGTCTGTGCCTCTTCTGTCTCTCCAAGAAGGAGACACCGCAGCTAGTTGGGCATATGCTGCTGCTCTGTCTGTTAGCTGTCTCCTTCTTCGTCTTTCTTTCATAAGACCTTGAGGCCGCTTCTTCCTTCTTCCCTTCTGCTGCTGCTGCCGCTTGTGCTGCTGCCCCGCATGGGGGCCCCCCTCCCCATCCGCTATAGGCAGGTAGTGCGGCTCCTCACACCACCACGTGTAGTACCTGCAGCAGCAGCAGCAGCAGCAGCAGCAGAAGCATCAGCAGCAGCAGCCGATTGGCGCTGGGGAATAGAGCAGGAGTGACACTCTACTGGCAGCAACAGGAGCAACAGCCACAGCAGCAGCACCAGCAGCAGCAGCAGCAGCAGCAGCAGCAGATGTTACCTGACGACGTGTTTGGAGTAGAGGTCCCTGTTTGCTGCTACCTCCCTAAAGTCTCTTCTTAAAGAAATGTCTTCGCTGCTCGCCAGCTGCAGGCGAATTAATTTTACTGCATATATTGGATGCCCAGGCTCCAGCAAGTGACGCACCTGCGCAGACACCAGACACCCCACACCCCACACACTCCACAATCCCTAAACAACAAACAGCAAACCCTAAACCCTAAACCCTATATACACACGCTCAAACCCACAGAGGCTACGCCAGAGGGTAAAGCGAACAAGGCTCACTAAACCCTAAACCCTAAACCCTAGGCAGCTCCAACGCAGGAGGAGAATGCATGCGAAACACAAACGCCGGGATCGTCTCCTCCCAAGCGTAACAGCGTGGGATCGTCTGCTCCCCTTGTCGGATCGTGTGCTCTCCGTGTGGGGTGGTCTAATCCCGTATAGGATCGTGTGTTTCTGTAGTGGGATCGTGTATTTACGCTGTGGGATCGTGTATTTAAGCTGTGGGATCGTGTCTCTCTTGCGTGGGATCGTGTATAACGCAGTGGTTTGTGGGGTGTAAATGGCTCACTTCATAGACGCTGCCGAATCCTCCTCTCCCCACAAGTTTTTCAATGCGGAAGGTGCGAGCAAAGCGGCCATTGTCTAAAAATTTCAGAAGAGCAGAGCGAGCAGGGATCCCTGGGGAGACGGGTGGAGACAAGGAGACAACCCCCAAAGAGCTGTCTGTCTCTTCGTCTGTCTCCTCCTGGCTCGGGGTGTCCAGACGACCCCCTATAAATGAATCTGCAACTTCGGAGCTGCACTGCTGCTCTCGCTGCTGCTGTTGCTCCTGCTGCTGCTCCTGCTGCTGCTGCTGCTGCTGCTGCTGCTGCTGCGCGGGAGGCAGCAGGGGCTGTGGTAAGGTGTCCCCTGGAGAGAAGCCCGGAAGAGCAACAGCAGCAAACGCTGCAGCAGGAGACACCGCAGGAGCTATGGGCTGTTGGTCTGGTGTGGTGTTGATATCCCCCGGCGAAGGAATCTGTGCGCTGCTTCCCCTCTGCTGCTGCTGCTGCTGCTGTTGCTGCTGCTGCTGCTGCTGCTGCTGCTGGAAAGGGAAGGGGAGAGTCTGATCAAACTCAACATCAAGAACGCATGCCCTTCTTTGTCTTGCAGCACTAAGCATGATCTCCTCTAGAGATGCATATGAGCGCCCCACACGTCTAAACCCTGCTGCCCCTGCAGCAGCAGAGACACCTCGCGGAGGGAAGGCTCTGCACCACCAGGCGCTCCCCACATCATCTGCACTGTCTCCTAGAGGTCTCGCAGAAGCCGGCAACGAACTGTCTCCTCCTGCTGCTGCTCCCACTCCGGATCCTCCTGCTGCTGCTCCTGCTGCTGCTGCTGCTGCTGCTGCTGCTGCTGCTGCTCCTGCTGCTCCTGGGGAGCGAAAAGGGGGTACGGGGGAGGAGACAGCACTCAACGGGTGCATCGGAGGCGCCAGAGGCAAACGGGGGCTCTTGCCAACATCAACAGTGCCCCTTCGCCTTAAAGGGCTCTCTAGCCGTCGGTGCTGCTGCTGCTGCTGCTGCTGCTGCTGCTGCTGCTGCTGCTCGCCCCGCAGAGCCCTCCCTGCAGGCCCCCACATTGATGAGGAAGGGACAGCGGAGGGCCCTATATGAGACTCTCCATAGCGCTTTGAACGTTTCTTCTGTTGCTGCTTCCGGCCTTCTTCAGCGCTGCTGCTGCTGCTGCTGCTGCTGCTGCTGCTGCTGCTTGTCGTTGTGGTGCGCCGTCTCCGCGCCTTTGCTGCTGCTGCTGCAGTAGGTAGAGACTCTTCACTTAAAGGAGACAGCTGGGCCTTCCCACTCATTCTGTGTCCCTTTCGTCTGTTACATTCTTCATCAGAGGCATCGGAGACTGCTTTGCTGCTCCTGCTGCTGCTGCTGCTGCTTCTGCTATTGCTGCTGCTACTGCTGCTTCTGCTTTGGCAGCTCCATATCGCATCTCCTGAAAGATCTGCAACAGCAGCAGCAGCAGAAGCTGCTGCTGCTGCTGTTGCTGGGAAGCGGGCCTCCCCTTCTGCTTCCAGCTGCGATAACGGGGAGGTGCCGCTGCTGCTGCTGTTGCTGGCTTGCGCCTGTTGCTGCTGTTGTTGCTGCTGCTGCTGCGACAGTATGCGCTGCATCCAACGCAGCATAAGTCTCCAACGCCCCACAAAGGCCTGCAGCAGCGGCTGTCTCCTCAGCTGACTGCTAGAGCAAACAGCAGCAGAGACAGCAGCAACAACGGAGCCGAACCAGATAAGCGACACCCCACCACTCGGCGTCTCTGTGGGGCCCGTGTCTCCTTCCCGCTGCTGCTGCTGCTGTTGCTGGTCTTGCTGCTCTTGCTGCGCTCCATCGGCTGGTTGCTGCTGCTGCTGCTGCTGCTGCATGCGGCGTGTCTTGCGCCACAAAGGGTGCTGATGCAGGGGCAGCGCAGAGAAAGGTCCGTGCTGTAGCTGCTGCTGCAGCAGCTGTTGCTGCTGCTGCTGCTGCTGTTGCTGCTGCTGCTGCTTCCCCATATCAGCATGAAAGACTCGCTGCATCCAGCGCCTCAAGATACCCAGGACAGGAGACACAATCGGGTTAAAGGGTCGTGGCAGCTGCTCAAAGGGCAGCCGCTGCTGCTGCTGCTGTTGTTGCTGCTGCTGCTGCTGTTGTCGGGCGTGAGGCCACCAAGGAGTCGTGCCGCCTTCGATATCTCCAACTGCTGCTGGCACACGACCGGTATTGCTGCTGCTGCTGCTGCTGCTGTTGCTACACTGCTGAGGAGAGCCTTCAACGGAAGACCGCCAGCCAGGTGGGGCCTCTAGCGGCAGCGGGGCTCTTCCCAGGACCGAGGGGTTTGCTGCTGCTGCTGCTGCTGCTGCTGCCGCTGCTGCTGCTGCTGCTGCTGCCGCTGTTGCTGCTGCTGCTGCTGCTGCTGCTGGTGAGTCTAATGAATACTCCGGGAAGCCCCAGTGAAGCGGCCGCTGCAGCACGGGGGCCCCAGCCAGATCCTGAAGGTACTTGTAGTGTACGGAGACCAACTGCTGCTGCTGCTGTTGCTGCAGCTGCTGCTGCAGTTGCTGCTGCTGCTGCAGCGGCGGTAGCAGCGGCGGCGCCGGTAGCAAAGAGGGAATGTAAAAAGGAGTAGCTGCATCAGCAGCAGCAGCAGCAACTGTCTCTCCCTGTCTCCACGGGTCGGGCGGGAGAGGCAGCCCCTGTAGACACACATCACAACACAGCAGCAAATGCGGTTGCTGCTGCAGCTGCTGCTGCCTCTTCTGCTGCTGCAAGCAGCGCTGCGGCTAGTGCGACCTCTGGAGTCATCGAATGCAAAGCCAGATGGCCCCATCTTGCTGCAGCAGCAGCAGCAAAACAACAGCAGCAGCAAAACAACAGCAGCAGCAACAGCAGCAGCTGCTACAACAGCAGCAGCTGCTGCAACAGCAGCAGCAGCAAGATAACGTACTGTGGGCCTTCTCTGCCGTGCAACGAATTGGAGTGTATAGGCAGTTGGTCCGTGCAGATCCTGCCGCTGCTGCCAGAGGGAGTCCTGCGGGTGCTGCTGCTGCTGCTGCTGCTGCTGCTGCAGAGGAGATGTGACAGCAAAGACAGCAGCAATGGGTGCTGGAAATTTCAAAAATAATGGCGCTGCTGCTGCTGCAGGGTCTCCTGCAGCAGCAGCAGCAGCAGCAGCAGGGTCTCGCTGCAGCATATACAGCAGCTCGCCCTCTGCTCTTAAAGAAGCTCTCAGTGTCTCTGTAAGCCGCATGTCTTCCGGGTGTCTAGGCAGCTGGGGGTCCCCACCAAAGCCTGCTACGTCTACCCATGAGAGCCCCCACCTGCAGCAGCAGCAGCAGCAGCAGCAGCAGCAGCAGCAAGAGCAGCACAAGCTCACACACACACCAACGCATTCACTCGGCGCTCCTGCTGCTGCTTCTGCTACTGCTGCTGCTGCTGCTGCAGTAGAGATAAACGACTCCGCTGGATCTGTGGCGGCCGTCGCTGCTGCTTGTCTACCTTGCAGCAGCCTCAGGAGCAGCAGCTGCTGCTGGTGGTGCTATTGCTGCTGCTGCTACTACTGCTACTGCTGCTGCTGCTGCTGCTCACAGTCTTTTGTGTGTCTTCGCACTAACAGCCCACAGCTGCCACACGCTCTGCGCCAGCAGCAGCTGCTGCCTTCCTGCTGCCTCCTCTCCTAATACACCCGCCCCGTCTCCCAGGGCTTCTAGTCGCTCCCCCTTTATGTCCTGCCCCTGCAGCAGCAGCAGCAGCAGCAGCAGCAGAATATATCGATATTCCGGCAGGCAGCAATAGCTAGCAGTAGCTAGCTGTAGCTAGAAGCAGCTAGGAGTAGGTAGGAGTAGGTAGGAGTAGCTACAGCCAGCGGCAACTAGCTACAGCTGGCTAGCGGCAGCAAGCTATAGCTAGCTAGCTGCAGCTAGCTGTAGCAGCTAGCTAGCTGCAGCTAGCTAGCTACTTACTGTCAGCAGGTCTAGGGCTCTGACAGTAGCGTCTTTGCGCCCTACGAAGTAAACCCCAGGGAAGAGCGGCGCCTGAAAAGGCAAACGGCTGACCACTTGGGGCACCGTCACTTGCAACGCCTGCACGCACAAACCCTAAACCCTAAACCCTAAACCCTAAACCCTAAACAACAAGCATCAAACCCTAAACAGCAAACAACAGCAAGCACTATACCCTAAACAACAAACCCTTGTGCTCAGAAACAAATCAACCTATGCAAACGCTGTCCGCAACTAATTGGGTGTCTAGCTAGCTAGCTAACTAGCTAGCTAGCCAGTTGAGTGCCTAGCTAGCTAGTTAGCTAGCTAATTCGGTGTCTATATGGATAGCTAACGGGGTGCATAGCTAGATAGCTAGCTAGACAGCTAGCTAGATAGCTAGCTAACGGAGTGTCTAGCTAGCTAGCTAGCTAGCTAGCTAGCCAATTGGGTGGCTAGCTAGTCTCACCACCATTGTACCGTCAGGCTCTACCAAATAGAGGCGCCCATCGTAGCCTGGGAGAAGCCGCCGCATGCGTCCAGGTGTCTCTTCACTAGGAGTCGCTGCTGCTGCTTCTGCTGCTGCTGCTGCTGCTGCTGCTGCTGCGTTTCCTGTGGGTATCAAGTTGCTGTCTGGCTGGGCGGGGTCTGCACCTCCAAGGACAACGCAGTCGCTGCACCCCTCAGTTGTTGCAGTTGCTGTTGTTGTTGCTGCTGCTGCTGCTGTTGCTGCTGCTGCATCCTCCGCAGCAAACAACGGTATGCTTGGGGCGGGCGGGTGCTGCAGAGAGCTTGAAAATCTTGCAGCACCGCTGCTGTCTCCAGCAGCAACAGCAGCAGGAGAGCAAGGAGACGATGAGAAGGTCATTGTCTCCATGCTGCTGCTGCTGCTGCTGCTGCTGCTGCTGCTTGCAGCGCCTCTGCTGCTGCTGCTCCTGCTCTCCTTTGTGCTGCTGCTGCGGGTAGTCGTGCTGCTGCTGCTGCTGCTGCTGCTGCTGCTGCTGCTGCTGCTGGCGACGTATGCTGCAGCAAGCGGAGACCCCAAGTGCGCCTGCCACTGGAAGGCACCCCCAGTAGAGACACGAAAGATGTCGCCTGTTGTAGACAGCACGATGAGGCTCTCAGCCCCGGACAGCCTTGCTGCTGCTGCTGCTGCTGCATCCCCTGCTGGGCTGCTGCTGCTCCTGCTGCTGCTGCCGCCGTAGTCCAAACGCTCCCTGCTGCTGCTGCTGCTGCTGCCTACGGTGTCTGTGTCTGAAGAGAGAGAAGCAAGAGACAGAGAAGGAGAGTGAAGCGGCTCCTCCTGCCCATAACGTGCCCATTGCTGCTGCTGCTGCTGCTGTTGCTGCTGCTGCTGCTGCTGCTGCTGTTGCCTGTACGGCAGCAAGTCCTCGCTTGTCTCTCCCCCGCTGCTGGTGTCACTCTGTGTTGCCTCCAGCGGCGATGAGAAGCCGCCAAAGGCAGCAGCTCTTGCTGCTGGTTCTGTTGCTGCTGCTGCTGCTGCTGCTGCTGCTCCCACTGCGACGTGAGGCGCCTCTGCAGCACTGGAGCCAGGCATCCTGCCAAGTGCAGCAGCAGCGGCTGCAGCAGCAGCAGCAGCAGCAGCACCCGGCTGGTGA